GATGGCGCAATTTGTTCTAAAAATAGAATTATTGTCCCATATCATGGGGACAACCCCAATACGAGAAATGGCGTGCGCTTACGGTCTCCGTCCCCGATTATGGCTCCTGATTTGAAACGTATGTGTTTTTCAGTTTCATATTTAATGACCAAAATTCTTATGAAGTGACTCAAGGAAGGTAATGTTTCTCTACATCGACAGGTCCACAAAAAAGATTCTCCTAAAATTACTATATAATTAAATAGATCCATCTCGTCCTCAAAAGACCCAACTATACCAGCGCAATATGTAAGCGGGAGGCTTCTGCAACTCTTGATTTTACTCAAATTTTTTTCATTAACCTCACGCCAAAAAGAATTTGAAAAAGAACAACCAAACAAAACATGGGATATGGTTTCTGTTAGCTGATGACAGAAGGTGCAGTTGGTATTAGAAACGTATCCCATTTTACACAGGCGGTCATTAGTAAACAGAACAGAATTCAACACTTTGTACTGAAAGGAGCGTAGATACGGCTCGTTAGCAACCCTCACTGGCAAAAGAAATGCCTCTGAAACTTGCTTGTCGTCAAGGCTAAAATCTTTCTTTAGCTTGACCCATTTACTTGCCTTTTCCAATTTTTGTTTTATAAGAAAACAATAATAGTCATGACATTTAAGACTTTCAAAATCAAGAATCACCTTAAAATTGGGTATGTTAGCACGCAACTTCAAAGGAACAGATTGCCTTAGGCCTGTCCATACTAAAAAGTTGGACCTTGTCAATCCCTCACTTCTGAGAACATTAAAAGACTGGATATTTGACTTGTCAAAGAGCACATCATTTGTATATTTAATATTCATATTAAAATAATGCTTATAACAAACATTTTTACCATCGATTTTGATTTCTTTGTTGTTCCATATAATATATTTGTAAAAATTATTTGGATTTACTATATCAGGGCTGTGTCTCACAAGGACTGGGAACTACCGAATTCACGAATTTGATTGGCTGAAATCGATATTGACCGCGGTCTAGATTTTCCCATCTAGACCGGCATCTGTAGATCGGTTTCATTTTGCGTTGAAAAAGTAGCAAACTAAAATACAAATATGTTTTATTTTCTTCTCAATCACTTATGGAAGTGCCAAAAAGCCTGATGACCAAAAAAGAAGTAAAGAGGACGAACAAATTTCGG